AATTAAGAGATCCAAAGCTAGAAGTAGTAGAAAGCAAACACGAAGTAGAAGCAGGAGTAGTTTTATTCTTCTCAAATTCCAAAGCAAATAGTCTTCCCAGTCTACGCTTCTTCCCCTTTACCTCCCTAGTTTGTCGGTCCTGTATCAAACAACCATTAGAAGTGAATGAGACATTGTTACTTTCTTCTACAAGTTAGCCAACAGAAATCAAATTGGTGGTTAGCTTAGGTACAAATAAAGTTTTGGATAAATGAAAAAGAGATGATTTAGAAGTAGATAAATACAAATCATCACAACCAAGTATGTCAAGTTTTTCACCGTTTGCAGTGATAATATGTCTATTGGGAAGATGGGGTTTGGGATACTGACCAAGAGTTGCCCCTGTCATATGGGTAGAGGCTCCTGAGTCAATATACCAGAGATGGTTCAGTGAAGGGCAATAGGTCGGAAACTAACAAGGCAGAGCAATAGCAGAGAATGCTGAAGAGATGACCGAGGACATGAGCTGTCGAATTCGTTCTTCAAACATGTTGTCGAAGGTGTCATTTTGACCAACTACAGAAGTAATAGAGGCATCTGAACTGTCTACAACAGTCTAATAGGCCTTGTAGTTTCCTTTCTTCTGATTTGGTTCACTACCTTTTTTATGCCAGGTTGCACATTCAGTGATAATGTGGCCAACCTGCCTACAATAGGTGCATGTGTTCTTCTTCTTACAATGGGAAACAATGTGCCCATACTCCTTACATTCATAACATCGTATCTTAGAGAAATCTTTCTTTCCTTTTGGTTTGGTTACCAAGAAGACAACATCAATGTTGGAATCTTTCCTTCCATCCAGTGCAGTTTGTGTAGTCAATCTGGTTTCCACTCTCAAGATCTCTCCCAGGATAGTATCTAAGTTAGGAAGTGTTCCTCGGCTTAGGATATTAGATCGAACAACTTCAAACTCAGGCCTTAGATACACTAGGAAATGCATAATTTTCCTCTTGTCAAAGTGTTCCTTCATGTACTTCATGCAATAGTTTGAAGGATCCTTTCCCAAGTGAATTAACTCATATTTTGTCCAAAGGTTGATGAATCCGACATAATATTCCTGGACTTTTCTGTCTCCCTGATAGTACGAAAAGATGTCAACCTCTATCTGATACTGTCTATAGGTGTTCGATTGCTGATAAACTTTCTCGAGATATTGATACATCTCATAGGTTGTCCTGTACCCTCTCATAGGGATAACAATATTAGTTTCGACTGAGCCTAGAATCCATGACGCAATTTTTGCATTGTAGATCTTCCACTGATTAAGTCCGTTAATGCTAGAGTCATCAGGTATAGATACGGATCCATCTAGATATCCCCAAAGACCCTTAGCTTCGACATGGAACTAAAAGTTGAACTTCCATAATGCGTAGTCCGTACCATTGAACTTAATAGGAAGAACCTCTATCCTTTCTGATGCCATTGGAAGACAAAAGGCAACAACACCCTTCCAGAAACCAAAAAGATTCGAACCAGAGAAAGGAAAGGAGAATACCTTTCAGCTGATGTCCAAAAAAGGCAACTGTATAGTTCTTCTGAACTGAAGAGTGGATCAAAACCCCTCAAAAACAAAACCGATCCAAACCAAACCAAAGGGATTCAGTAGATCTGCTTTGGGCGACACCAGATCTAAAATTTCAGGCTGATCCAATGTTTCTTCAAGGAGATCTAAGAAGAAGGTGAATCCGATGGCGCAACAGTCCAGGAAACAAATCGGTAAAGTTCAGATCTGTGGCCGATCTAGGAAGAAGATTAAAAGGCACTCAAGAACTTCTCAAATACTGATAGAGCGTTCTTGAAGCAGTAGTAGTCGAGATGTTCAATTCAACGAGATATTATGTGAAGATCAGGTCGTAACCTGCTCTGATACCATGTCAGAGTCAAGTTGAGAGTTCAGGAAGAGAGAAAGAAAGAGACAACAGATTTGGTGGGTGTGACACCTTATGTCGGTCGACACCCTAAAAGATATATTTATATTAAAAGGTAAAAGGACAAATCTGCCCTTAATGTACAAAATAAAGAGAGTACAAAGAATAGTTATACAACAAAGAAGAGTAAAAGTACAAAAATAGCCCCACGGCTAGATTTCACAGTCTCTACAAGGTTGACTTTCAAGTTGAGATATCTCATAGTTGGTGTGCTTCATATTGGGTCCCAACCCTGTAACCCCTGCAATTGTTCCATACCCTGATATTTAGCTAATAGGAATAACCAAAAAATAAAGATGAGCTAATAGTGCCACAATCAGCACTTGTTTTGTAATCTATTGCTCTTATACTCTAGATCTAGGAAAGTTTGGATTTTCAAGAATGGCTCCTTTGAGTGCTTAATCTGGATTCATACATAATCACATATTTATTATGTAGTACTTCACCTATTTTATCTACATAGTTGGCCCCACCAAGGCTACAAGAGAAAAGTTTTATTTAAAAAAGAGAAGGATAAACCAAAGAATGGGTTTTGTGGCCCAAAAGAAAAAAAAAAAGAAGAAAAAAAAATGGAAAGAAACTCATCAATCTTGTTTCACCATTCTGTTGACAAATTTTCAAAATATGTTTTCATGCTCTGAAACAGAATATCCATCACTTTCTTCTGTTCAAAATGTCTACATTCAGCCAATGTGTTCACCCTTCTGGATTTTAAATGATAACTATATTCTCCTGTTCCATCTGTTACGCAACTAGCTCAGTCAATAGTGAGCTCTATCATATAATCATTTTGGTCAATGTATTTCAATAGCTGATAGGCTATGTGTTAAACACATTATGCTAGTATATTTACGGCTTGTAAACACAAGTGCATGATTGGGAAGTTCTGCTTGAATTGGATTTTGGATCCAAAGAACTTGGATAAATTGTTGAGAGGATAAGCATCCTACATTGAAGTTGGGACACCATATCTAGGGCCTACTTTGATTTCTGAAATATGCCAGTATCTATAACTTGGTTTAAAGAAATGGGTCATGCTTGGTACTTAGGCTTAGCCAAAGTTTTGGTGGATCCCAAATTTATTGCCTAGCAGAGTAGCAAATACCAGATTGCTTTTATATCAATATAAGAGAGCTCTGACAAGATCCAATTATGATCATTGCCATTGGTTCCTTTCCCTCGTGTTCTTTTACATCTCTACTGTAGACATAAGGTTCAACATTGGAAGTGAAAAGTTAAATAAATAAAATCAATCCTATATCGAGAAATAGTAATTACAGAGGGAACTTTCACTTTCCACATTCAACAGCCCGGGCTGTTAACCTAGCAACGCATCCAGCATGGACACTATTACAAGAAGATTGTATGAACTAACATGTCATGTAGGGAAAGCCTTGTTGACAGTCCAGGCTGTTGAATTTAGACAGACAAATTTTCTCCATAATTAAAATGATGAGTCAGTGTCTCAGTGTAACATGAAAAGGGTCATGTTGGGTACAATTGCTTCGGTAAGATCTCTGAACTTGTTTTGTTTCATATTTGCATGGGTGTCCCCTCAAAAATATAACCAGTTTAAGCTTCACAAGAGTGAAGAAAATAAGTTTATTTAAGGAACTGAGAACCTAGCTAATTGGGTTCTTCATAAAGAGTTCACTGATAATTATGCTGAGCAAAGTTGACAACTCTAAGAAATACTCAAACTTGAACCCATACATTAAAGATACTTAATATAAGCCTGTAAGGTTATACTTTTTCTATATAGGAACCAGAAAGACATGAGTTTAACACCCACAGCGTTATATAAAATGGTAATGTTTTTTATTTAGCTAACACTCATATTTTACAACTAAAACGTCAGGGCTCACACATTGGCTATTAATTTCCAACAACTAGATCAGATAAAACAATATTAAATAAGTCAATGGTCAATATTATACAAGGACTGTCAATGGTACCCAATTTATCCAAGTTTGGGATTGAAATCTGATCCAATTAAACCAGATTTGGATCTCAAATACAAGAACTGTTTATTATTGGATCGAATCTGGGTCTACCCATATTAAGATCAGAGTCAATGATATTGGTAGTATGTGCATATATCTAATTAAAATTAAAATGTGTTTATTAATAACCTTTTTTTAAATATCATATTTTCATTATAGGCTATTAATAAGTTTCATAGAATTTATTTCTCATTCAATGTGTAACTAATATAATATCTAAGTCATTCCTAATTCACTTTATTAATAACATATAGTATTTTTCCATTTTTAGTTTAATTTATTAATGACATAAAAATCTGACAGAGAATATTCAATTCAGGCCCAAATATAGTAAGATTGGATTCAGATTTAGGTAGATCTAATCCAAACCTGACCTGTTTATTTCCCTATTTATAAGGAAGCAAAGGAAAACTTTTGATACATTAAGATGATTTACAACATTGTAAAATCTTCTGTAACCCATAATAAGATGAAATGATCTTAAAGTCAAAAAATGCAACCGTCCAACTTCAAACACTTTATAAGAGAATAGATGGTTAACTAATATAAACATGGGAAATTTTTTTATTGTTGTACAGACAAAACACACAAAACATCACATACTAAATTGCATGGTTCCAAAACAAAATATCTTAGATTAATGTAGGTTGTGTTTGGTACCATTGTTCTTTCTACCTGAAACGCTTTGGGTTGATCAATAGAAGTGTGTGAGTGAGAAGTATGTGTTGTCACATCACATATGAGAGAACCACTTTAACTAGAAAAATGTATGTGTAGGACTGACCATTGATCATTGACATTTCGGTATTGATCAACCAAAAACATTTCAGGTAGAAACAGCAATGGTACCAAACACAACTGTAGTATAAGCATTCTCACTTCACCAGGACTTATGTACTCCAATTGAAAATATAAAGATAAAATATTCAAAAGAAAATAAAGTTGAATGTTTTTCAAAATGGAAAAAAAAGCAACAAGCTTTTAGTACTCTATAGTCTGTATAACTGACTAAATAAAGCTAAGGCTATACCTGTTTGATTGCTGCACTAAGGTCCTCGTCTTTGGAGCTACAACTACTGGGGTGGAAAATACTGTCTGTTTCAAGGCAATCTGGACAAAGGTGCATAGACATTGCATGATCACCTAGAAGAAAGTTATCCATGTTGGGACATTGCATCTCCATTGGAGCTCCTGTCATTTTTCTTACAAATTCAATATCCTCAGCTGCATTACAAGCAGTGAAATTTCCAGCCTTACTTTGCCCTACAAAGTCAACAACATGCTTGAGATCAAGGGAATTGAAGTTAAATCCAACATGTTGACTTACTTCAGTTTTAAAAGAATATTAACTTAAATCTAATCTTACATCTTCTTGAAAAACTGAGAAAATATATGAAGAAACTATAGTCTGTGCTCCTTAATTAGAACAATGCATTATGGATTATGATGCCCACAATATGATCCGCATCATTATTTTGAATAACAGCTGCTAATTATAGTAATACATATAACAAATGGTCCAAAAAAAACAGTATATCAAGCTAAGTGGATATTAACCTAGAAAATTTTTTACATGTTGGGAATTGGGGATGCACAGGAAAACCCATCCCAAAAATGCTGCATGAAAGTCAATTTCTGAAGAAAAGCAAGGTAGATGGCAGCTTATGTCTTAACTGTTCCAACACAACTACTCAAAAATAGAAACAATTTTTTTCATATAAATAAATACCTGGAAGCAGAGTTTGAGCTTGTCCAATTGATGAATTGTGTTGAAAAAGCACACTCTGCTCAGTAGAAGCACCTGCCAGTATTGGGCATGGGGAACCAGAAACTCCAAAGAAGACACTATTAGGATGTGAATTGGAAGTGCATCCAGGTAAAGAAAGACCAATTTGATTAAGTTCATTGCAAGAACCAAAACTGGGGATCTGGGATGAAATGTCCATGTGATCATTCAACATTTTTGGCTTTGGAGAAAATGGTTTGTAGTTCAAACTACCAAAAGCAGTCAGATGATGCATGTCCATCTTCATTGAATTTGATTGGACACCTCGAAGTCCACTCATATGAATTATTTTCTGCATTTGATTCCTGGATACAGGAACGTCTGGGTACTGATGAAGAAAAGTGCCTTGCTGTTTCAGAGGGAGGGATAGGGGCTTTGGATTTACAAGGGAAGTGCTGAAGGTATCAGTATTTTGAGATCCATGACCAAACTGAATCATCCCAGAATTTATATTGCTATTGAAACCAGAATTCTCAAAGCAACTGACATTATTCTGATCTTGGCCATTGAAAGATAAAATTGTAGTATTTGATGAGTTCCCGCCAATTCCATCTGAATCCATGTTGTCGTTGCTTTTCTGGCTCACTCTAGAACTATTCTTCTTCAGAGCATTTCTGAATTTCTACCTCAAAGGCAAGAAAACGCAAGTGGGGATATCAAATTAGTTCCAGAACATAAACATGCAACTACAATATTGTTTTTGTCTGAAATAATATGAACAATCAACCATCACATGAATTGCTATTCTATAAGCATTTATTTGAGGAAAATCGCATCCTCCCTGCTTAAAATTCGTTCAGTGAACTGCCTAATTCATCTGGGCTCAGAAAGAAGAAAATTGAACATATTGGATCGTCCTATTTCTGCAGTTAACAATCTTTTCTATTTACAATTTTTCTTTGATAAGTGTTATCTGAATCCTCCAAAATAGTATTGATTTCTTTATTTAGTAAAACTCACAGGTTATGACTCATGTAAAACTCAATTTGTTACATGATCAAGACAAGACAGTGTAGTGGCTTTTACTTGTATATAATAAAGTGTTCATAATTGAATATAATGCATCACTATGACCAAAATCTCCTCTAACATACAATGTCAGAGATCATTGAAGATTGATCTAACCTGAAGATGACTGGCAACATTTTCTCGGGAAAGACCAGGTTCATTCATAACTTCAAGTATCTTCTTTGGAACTGCCTCTGATTTGGAAAAAAGAAATACCATTGTAAGAACTAAGCCATTATGAGCATAAGAAGTCATGGTTTGTCATTACTTACTTTCAACTCCTAGCCCATGGATAGCAGCAATAAATTTTTTATGGAGCTCTGGAGTCCAAATAACCCTTTGCTTCTTCTGCGACGAATAATCTTCTTCAGAGTTATTGCTGGTTGCATCTTCTTTATCCTTGCTTTGTTCCCTCTGTCTCTTTATAGGCTTTGAGTCCTGATCAGATCCTCCTTCCACAACAATTGATTCATTTGCTTGAGATAAGCTCTTCCTCAACACATGCTGCCATATGTTCTGTATCTCCTCCTTCCTAATGGGTTTCAATAGGTAATCTCGGGCACCATGCTTTATACCTTTCATAACAGTATTCTTGTCATCATTTGACGACATCACTGCAAAGTAATATTACAGTATCAAACAGCCATTCTAATCAAAGCATGATCATTTGACCAATAATCTTTTACCAAAAGAAAACATGATCAATAATCAAAAGCAACCTTTATGACATGGGTTCTGACTTACTGATTACTGGCACATCCATCTCAAGACTGATAATCTCCAACAGCCTGAACCCATCCATGTCATCCATGTGAACATCTGTAATCACTATATCAAAGCCATTTTTGTTCTCCCTTAAGAGCCTAAGAGCTTCGGAAGCTTCTGTTGTTACTGTAACTGCAAACAATTGAAACACATCACCAAAAGAGAAAATCAAATCAGAACTTATGTTGTTACTGTAACTGCAGGGAATTGAATTACAATACCAAAAAGCAAATGAAATTATTGGAACACTGAAACAGAACTACAAAATGGGGCAGTCTCCAATGGCACTTTAACCAGGGAAAAATACAGAAAAAGGATATCAACATTACACAATCAATTTATATAAAAAAAGATGATATTTAAGCTGAACAGGACAAGTTCTTCCACAAAACAACATATCAAACAAGACAGATTGAATAAAATATAACCAAACGTATAAAGGGGGTATAATCCCAATTTAAAACCAAGTAACCTTGTCTTAATGACGTACAAGCTCGATCAGATTACCATCTCAAACTTATTCCACTTTTTGATTTCTTTTTCCCTTCAAACCTTCTTTTCAAAAAAACGACAAGATAAACATCAAAATCATCGAACAACTCGCCATTTAACAATTCAAATCAGGATTTCAAGGAAGGAGAGAGAGAGAGAGAGAGAGAGAGCAAACCATTGTAGCGACACTGACGAAGAAAAGCTTCAATAACTCTTAGACAAACTCTGTCGTCATCAACGGCCAGAACTCGCATTCCTTCCGGAAAAGTCGCCTTGTCACCGTTATCCGGCGCCGGCAACTGGCCCAATTGGCCACAGTTCTCTGACGCCATATACTCGATAAAGCCCCAGAAAAACTCTAAAAAGTCTCTGTCAAGATCACTGTTGTGATTCTTTCTCCTTCGTCAAACTACAATCATTGCACTCCAAAAATCCAAACAAGCTAACACTTATGAATGGACTGACTGTATTCTTCTTACTATTTTATAATTGGAAAACAAAGAAAGAAAAGTAAATGTATTAAAGTTCTCATTTCTATATAAGCAAACTCATAGAAAGAAACTTCATGGTTTCCTTAAATGGAAAATTTGCAGACAGATTCTCTTTCTTTTTTTCTTTAAAATAGAATGACCCATGTGGAGCGGAAGTGCAAAAAAAGGGTAGGGAGTGGGACACGCTAACGATACGGAAGACGCCATTGGCAAGAGTGCAAGACTGCAGGGAGTGAGTAAAACTGTAAAGCGTGGATGGATCCGAGAGTGTTCTGTCTTTGGGTTTGGTCTGTCTGTTGTGTTTCATCCCTGCGATCTCGTTGCACGGGTGTGGAATCTTTGATTCTATAAGATTACGCGTTGAAGTTTGGGGCTTGTGGGACCCAGTTCAATTATGTAGGTTACTGGTTACGCCTTGGTTTTTCTGGATGAATCGGGTTAAGAAGAAATTGGGTTCGACCTTTTAACCAGTCAACTTGAAGTCAATCAGGTGTTATTTATCAAAATTCATGTGTGGATTTGACTGTTGGGGTCAATAGTACAGTTTTTGGGCCGCAATTCACTTATTTACGCCCATGCTTTAGTTTTTAGTAAAAATAAATTAATATGTAATTATTATCCATTCTCATGGTAAGGGAGACTAGATCTGCTCCTCACACTTGGCACCTCACACACATATCCTATAAATACCCAACTTGACTAGATCAATTGGGTTGGCCAAACACCCTGCAACCAAATCGAACCAACCTATAAATACCCATAATCTGCTGAACTCACATCTATAGCATATCCTAATTAGGGCTGTAAGTCGGGCTGGGTTAGGTCGGGTTGAGGTCAACTCTAGCCCAACCCTAACCCTAACCCAACCCGACCTTCAACTCGACCTACCCAGCCCTAACCCTAACTCTAACCCTAACCCAACCCAACCTTCTTCTCATCCCTTGTAATCTTGTAGAACTTCTTAATCTCATATCTTAACTCAACTTTCACTACATACATTAATCCTATGTTTTATTAATATTTGTTTATTGATGTTTTTATTGATTCTTTAAGTATAAAATTCAGAAAAAAAAAGTGTTTGAAATGACTATAGTTTATTATGAGTTATGACTTAATACATCTTTTATGGGCAGCAAGTTATGGGTATTAAAACAACAGAGAGGAGATAAAGAATAAAATATTCAAAAACATAAAATATGTTATTAAGGTTTTAGTATTTTGTAATTAGGATTAAGTGAAGTGATTATCTTAAAAGAAATAAATGATAGTATGTGGTGGGGGCTATACAATTATCATACACATAAACAAATCAATATATCATATATCATATATATAATATATTTATATATGATATGTACTAGAGTCGGGTTCGGGTTGGATCGGGTTTTCCGAGGGGTTAACCCTAACCCAACCCTAAATAAAATCGAATTCATAAATTTCAACCCTAACCCTAACCTGAGCATTAACCCAACCCAACTTTTTCGGGTTGGGTTTGGGCCAACATGGCCCAAGTTGTAGCCTTAATTCCAATCATGTATTGGCAATCATCTACGGCTCACATTTGTACATGTGGGATGTTATGTGATCTCTAAAAAATTTTGCCTATATCTATCCACAACACTACTTCCGTGCATTGATAATATTTTCCCGTAGATAATAATATATACTATGAATGAGATGTTCCCCACATTTGGCTGCCATGTTATATAGGTAGACTGGGTTGTGTGCAGGAGGTCTAGACTCCTCTAATCAGCTACAACTTTTGTAAAGAAATCCAAGTGGGCCGTCTAATTCTAGATAACTTGAACCTAGTTGCATGTGCAAGTGGGTGGGATATGTTATTTTATTAGTCCAGTTGTAAGATCAGCTCCTTGTGATAGGTGATTCAGAGCATGTGATTAACAAGGTCTCTTGCGGAGAAGTCAACGGAGAAGATGATCTTGTTAACGGGATCTACTTCTATTAAATTATTTAACAACCAATTAGATTGTGGTCCCACCCTTCACGATGTGTGTTATAGTACTTAGTCCTTGCCCTCTGACCCAATGTAGACCAGATTAGGAACAGAGACGATTCGGATCCAAAATCTATTAAAAGTTGGACCAAATTAATATTGAGTCATTGACATAAATTCTCAAAAGGAGAACCTGGTTGAACCCATTACTATATTGGGCTTTAAATGGATTAGGTTCTGATTTGTTGATTTGGGACACAGGATTCATAAGTGGAAATGTGGCCACTGCAGGCCCATTTTTTGGGACCTGTCTACTATGGTCCTAAGCTTCTGTCTATCCAACATGTGGCAGAAAGACTTTGACATGAAAATCCACTTAATTGGTTATAAGTTTTTCAGGTATCATGTGTTTTTTTGGTATCATATTTGAACCCTTTCATTTTACTTAATATGTATTGCAAATGATATATATACTCGTTTTATTTGAACCGATGCAAACAAAATTGCACTGCGAACAAATTAAACTCCTTTTATAGCTTAAAAAGAAAAGCACAAACACCATCCTGGCATCCTCCATTGGATCCGGACTTAGAAGTCGAACTCATAGTGGGCCAATTAGAACCGGTTTCATACCCAAATGTGCTAAAACTTAATTACCATGCTGAAATGGTTCCATATCCAACCCATTTACCGTTCAAAAAAAAGTGCTATTTTTTAACACTCAAGTGGGAATTTTGAAAACAAAATCATTCATGTTGTACAACACCCCTAAGTTAGGGAAAAAATTCAGTATTTTATTGAGAAAAATAATCAAATAGGATGAATCAACTAACTTGGAGATAAGATCATATTGGGGGAATCAATAAAACAAGGATACACTCTTCATAAATAGATTACTTTTTGCTTTGTCTCCAAGATCTCCAACATGGCTGCATTAATTGCATAGTTCAGATAGACGAATTTTACTTATTGTCCAGTTTATTTAAACTATGCATCTTCTTACCAGAACAAATATTATATAATCCTAGTAACTAGTTTATAATAGAAAGAGATTCAAAATATTTTCTTCTCTATCTCAATTGCAGAGCGAGAGGGACGTTGTAGATTATGACAAAACATCAACTTGATCAAATGACTTCTGACCATCTAACAAATAATAATTTTCTAATCTGCTCGTATTTTTCCTACTTTGCAACTCTGACCAATTTTTTGGGAATCCGGATCTTCTCCAATTAAAATCTCTGCAAACACATTTTTCGCATTATAAGAGTGTGACACGTATCTTTTCTATGTGCAAGTCACTAACGGCCAACGGGACCTTAGGCTGTCCATCCCTTAGTTTTCTGATCTCAACCCCTTCAAAACCCAAGGTTGTGTTTGGTAAAGAAAAAATAGGGAAAAGAAAGAAAAGGTAAGGAAATCTATATAAGGTTTGTAAAGATTTCATTTCCTTTCCCTACCATTTCCTTCAAACCAAACATAGCCCCCCCAAAAAAAATATTAGTCTCACCTCAAAATCAAAAAAGAATATCTTCCCTCTCCTCTTTTAGGGATGTCAATTTTTTCTGTTTCTTTGGTCCCCATAGAGACCTGCCTCAGATGGGGTGGGGATGGAGATGGAAAAATTTTCATCCCGTTTAGAGTACTCCATTGGGCCTTTGATTCCTGCCCCATGGGGATCATGGTTTATATATGTTAATATTTTTAAAAATATGGCTCAATATGTTTGAATATATTGAGATCTATTTTAATAGGATTCTAAAATATAACTATTTTATTTTAATAGGACTGTAAATAAAATAATTTTGACATCATAAAAAATCATGTGGGATAAGAATCCCCATGATCCCTGTAGATACAAGGATGGGGGTAACTTTGTCCCCGTTGGCAGGGAGGGGAACAGGGATGGGGATTGGCTCCCCATTTCTGCCCCACCCTATTTGTCATTCCTGTTCTCCTCTTGTCTCTTACCTACCTTTCTTTAGTTTTGAACCCTAACCTTTGTTCTTTGCACAACCTATATTACATCGGAGTTGGAGTCAAAAAAATACCAAAGGCCGGCTTTCTCTATGCAACATTCCACAGGTGGTTTTTGCAAAGAAAAAGTTTCTTTGCTTTTCTCTACATAGTGGTTAACACACTAGACTTGGAGTCACCGGTGTTTTTTGCACAAAAATATATACCTAGGGAAATCTATGATACCAAAAAGGCATGGTATTGAAGAGTTTTGACCAATTAAAATCCTCTCATGAATTATGATAAATACCATCTGATTGATTAACATGTTTATGATAGTGGTTAATTGGTTACAAAATTTTCAAATATCATGTCTTTCCAGTATCATATTCGAGCCCATATACAAGAGGCCATATTAATGAACGTCACAACAATGTCAAAGCATTTCATTTATTTAGGGTCCTTTTGGTTCGTAGTTTGAATTGGAATCAAAATCAAAATCGAAATCAAAATGCTTTAGAATTGGAATTGAAATGGTCTATTCCCATAGTCTGTTTGGTTTGGATAGGAATTGGAATGGGAACTAGAATCAGCCGGAACGGGATTTCATTCCCAAGGGAGGGGGAGGGAATGGCTATTCCCTCAAAATGGAGGAATGTCATTCCACTAGGAATGGGAATGAGATTCCAATTTTGCTTAACCAAATAGTTGAAATCAGAAATGGCCCATTCCGATTTCAATTCCAAAACCCTATTCTCATAAATAAAACAAGCCCTTATTTGAACATGTTATGTAGCAAAAAAAAAAGAAAATACTGAAGTCGTCATAAATTTGATTTTAATGTCTAAATTATGTAAGGATGGTTATTTTATTTTATTCAGTAATAAGATTACAGTTAAGTTGAATAACAAATTCCTTGCTTATGGAGAACTCGAGAATAGTCTTTATGTACTCCACCATTCTCTAGAAACGAATGTGACTGAAACAACCTTGGAACACATCTCCACGAAAAGAACACGAGAAACTATTAAGCATATAACGAATCACAAGATTGGTGAATGATGATTCTCTAGATTTTCTCATAATAAAAAGATCTACCAAGTTGTGAACCTTGCCTT